GTGATACTAGTCACGTGATCTCGCTGACGCAACAATAGGTTATACTTTTATGCTAAAATTTGTTAAGAATACACATAGTGACATAGTCATCTAGAATAAATCAACCTAATAATTGGAGCGAAGACGGGTACTTTCGCTAGTATAAAAATATATCTCTGAAAAATGGTAATTTAAGGATTATTTATAGGTTGTTGTTTTTTTAAATACCAAACAAAAACTTAAATAGATCAGTGGTTCAATTGCACGTTATAAAGATTAAAGTGCCTTTCCCCCAAAAGAACAAGGAGTTAACTTACTTTCACAAGGTAGAGAAGAACACTGAGGTCTTTGTTCAGTACAGTTCTTTCCATAATATTGGGCTGGACAGTGACAGTAGTAGTTTCTATGCATATTAAAACATGAAGCTCCATTCTCACAGGGATTTGGATTACAAAAATCATCGTCAATCTGAAAATTAAGTAATTTTTACATTTCGATATATGTTTTGTAGTAACCAATACGTACACTACTAATTATTATTATTTTTATTTTTGACACTCGACCAATGATATTTATATAACAAAGAAATATCATGGAAGAATGAGTTGCTATTTCCCCAATATGTCTTGAGTCTGGTTTATAAGTGTATAACTAAGTTTGATATAAATATGAATAATGGTTTTATTTGGTCCAGTAATGCTTAGCATATTGCTGAATAGCATTAAAATCTTGGAGATGAGTACGATTAAAAATTCAAGTGACACAAGTGAACATTTTGATATTTTTAAATACCGTCAACGATCGACAGCCGTGATCGAGCAAATGTAACGCAAAATTAATTCAACATACAATAATAATTATTCATTGTATTATGGAATTGGGTATGGCTGCATCTTTCCTTTGCAATTATGTTCGAATCACGCCTGTTTTGCACGTATTCTGTGCTGAACATAGTCAGGCTTAATCTGCGTATTTTGCAGAAAAGTCTTCAAAGCTCTCAAATAGCTTGCATTTTTAAGTTTTAAATCGTTTCTAGGATTGTTCAAACTGTGGATACTCAATGAAATAAAGTAAAATTTCATTTATCACTTTCATGGGCTGACAGTTAATAAAATGTGTGAAAGGGACATTAGCTATAAATGTAGGATAAAATTATAAATCCCTTATGATTATGCTTTTAGGTTAATCTATTCTTTATAATGACTCTTAAATATTTGAGGTATTTTATAATTATTAGTGATGTTATATGTTTTTAACAGAAAGAAAAGATAAACAAATACACATAAGAAATGGTACTCACTTCGCAACGAATTCCTTTATATCCAACAGGACAGATACATGAGAAATCACCCACAAAGTCTACACATTCCCCCCCATTTAAACATGGATTACTAGAACAATCATCAACGTTGGTCTGGCAGTTCCTTCCAGTGAACCCTGGGAGGCAAGCACAATGATAATCTCTGACGAGGTCAATGCAGGTGGCGCCATTCTGGCACTGGCCGACACAATCATTAATGTTGTGGTCACAGTTCTTTCCTGTCCAACCGGGCTGACATTCACAAACATAATCTCCAACCATGTTTTTGCACCAGCGAGCGTTGACACAAGGTTCTCTTGCGCATTCGTCAGCGTCTGATGGTTCCAGTAAGTCAGCTGTCAGATAAGGTTACAATGGCGTAAGTTAAGATTGGTTTAGGAAATTATACGTAGGTGAAAATGGCGACAGTCCTTTCCAAGCTTTATAAGCCAATAGTTATTTTTATAATTATTATCATTAATTTGGTTTGTGTAGTAAAAAAAAGCACGCTATGAATGTGTTGTTTTACACTTTGTAAACTTATACTACCACAGTTCTTCCAAATGTGTAAAAAAAAGGACCAAGTTAGCCACGTCAACGAATGTTCTTTCAATTGGTTTTTCTATCCGAAATGTAACTAGAATATGGATAAACAAAAGCACCCAACTTTGTTACATGACATGAGCGTAGGCAGGAGGGGAAGGGGGCAATCTCATCTCCAAAATTGCACGAGTATATTTATAGAACATATTTAAAAGGTGTAAAACAGCCTCCGATACCATCGGCATCATTTTAATTGAAAAATACTAATTTTCCGAAGGGGCATGCGTCCGAACCCCCACCCCATCAGCATGTTTTCGCCACTGATGACCTTTTCCATCAAACTCATTTGTTGATCTCTTGTCCAAAACTAAAGCCATTAGCATTACTTTAAGTAAAACGACATTTTCCTCCATTGCAATTGTTAGGTGGGAGGTTGTGGGGTAGCACAGAGTGCTCTTTAGTTTTAATTCTGTGGTTTATAAAAACTACATATATATAATAACACAAATTACCTCATTTCAAAACCTCATAATAACTGGAGATATGGATGCTTCACAAAAGTCTTTCATACGCTATATTAATTAACGTGATATGAAAGGTTTGGTTGCTTTTAAGCGCAGAGGTACACAATGGGCTGTCTGTGCTCTGCCCACCACAGGTATCGAAATTAGCTTTTTATCGTGTAAGCCTTCGGACTTACCCCTGAGCCACTGGGTGTGGGGGGTGTAAAAGGAAATTTAAGCTTACTTAAACAATTTATTTTCAGCATAAACAGCTAATTAATTTAAAATGCAAGTCGCACTATATTGTAACGAAAACAATACAGAGACGCCTAAGAAGTAGTGCTAAATTTAAAATATCACTTTCATTGAAACCGACCAAGAATGCGATAAATTATGTTTTAATAGGTTTCTTCGAAATTTAGTGGTTAACTATTATTATTATTGAAGCTATTAAACTCATCATTTTTATTAATTAATATATTCGACATAGTACTGTATTTATAGCAAAGCTATTAAGATTATCTGCCGCCGTCCGTAATTTTGAACTACTGAACAGATGGAAGACAACTAGTTAGCAGCACCCGACCATCTATGCTAAGGAATTGATTGGCGCTCTCATAACTTAAATATCATTGAATATTTTTTTAGTATCGCTCAGACTCGAACGCGGCTCGCTAGCAGTGAAATCCATTCCAGACCTCTACCACAGGAACTTGGATATAGTGTAAATATTGTTAAATATTTTAAACTCTTTTTTTTTTTTCTAAAACCACATTAGTTGTTGAATGATGAGAAGCAAAGCTATGGTCAGCTGGTAAATATTACAATAAACCTTAGCATTATACATTAATGGATATGCTTGGGGCAGATTCGTTCGACGGGAATCGAAGTTTATTGTAGAATAATAGAACGACGGCAGTAACAACGAAACATTTGACACGTGTGTGTACTGTAACAAACATTTGACACGTGTGTGTACAGTAATAGACATTTGACGTGTGTGTACAGTAATACACATTTGACGTGTGTGTACAGTAATAAACATTTGACATGTGTGTACAGTAATAAACATTTGACGTGTGTATACAGTAATAAACATTTGACACGTGTGTATACAGTAACAAACATTTGACACCTGTGTGTACAGTAACAAACATTTGACACCTGTGTGTACAGTAACAAACATTTGACACGTGTGTGTACAGTAACAAACATTTGACACGCGTGTGTACAGTAACAAACACTTGACATGTGTGTATACAGTAACAAACATTTGACACCTGTGTGTACAGTAACAAACATTTGACACCTGTGTGTACAGTAACAAACACTTGACACGTGTGTGTACAGTAACAAACACTTGACACGTGTGTGTACAGTAACAAACATTTGACACGTGTGTGTACAGTAACAAACATTTAATTCTTGAACGTTTCGGAATATATGTATTCCATTTTCAGTAAGCTATGTTGAACAGGGTAAATTATTAGGTACAAAAATTTATAAAGTTTAAACCTGTTATAAAAAAGTAATTAAAATACAGAATAAAATGATGAAGTAAATTAAAAGACAATCAAATAAACAAGAAAGAATAGGATAATATAACAACTGTAACAATATTATAACGTATTCAGTTCGCTACAGTTAAATCTGTTCTGAATACTTGTATAATATCATTACAATTTTGGCATTATCCATTATGCTTGGGGCATTATTTAAAACATGTAGAGTTTCAGGTTAAAATGAATAGTTTGATAAATTTAAGGGGCTTTCCTCTAGTAGACATTGATATTTAATTAAATATCATTATTTTGTATGTATATTTAATGTCCATATCTATCTGGAATCAATTCAGTAGCAGTGGAATGAACATATATACCTAATAGAAATAATCCAATTAAACACACATTTTCACTGTATTATAAACCGTAACACAATGGCAGATAATTCGCTCAAATGAAGACTCGGAAAACGTTTTATGCAACAATTTTGAACGTAATTTTTAACACATATTTTGTCCTCATTATGTTGTTTCAGTAGCATAATCTATGAATAGCTTTTATGTTTAGTTTATAACAGGTGCTATGGAGGCCAGTCAAAAAACAGTGTCAGTGAGAAAAAAACGTAGAAACGTATAGCTTAGTCCAGGCTAAGCTTCGAATTACGTATTCGGAATTCAGAAATAGACTGCTAATAATCCATAATTATCTTGTTGTTTCCAAAATAGTGGTCTAGGCGTTATATATATATATACACCTGGAAAAAAGTTAAGCACC